CGTAAAAGAAACCATAAACCACAACCAAATAAATCATTTGAATATGGAAAAAGCGAGAAATTACATTGTTTAATATATATTCTTGTATTGTCTTGTATTGTTTGTTTCTGTCTTGTAAGACTTTCAAAGGCTTTGAATTTGTCTTGAATTAAGTATTTCTTCATATTCCATGAAATAAAGGCAAAATTAAAGTCGAAAAATAAACCTATAAATATACTAAAGCAATCGATGAATAAATATATAGCATTTCACCCCAGACATTAAAAACGCGTTGAGCAGAGGTTATTCTGGCCACCGAATGCAGAAGTATGCGACTGAGATGAACACTCTACCCCCATAGATTAAATAAAGGGATCAGTTACAAATTTCCAAAAGGTTATACAGCGACAAATACCGGAAGAATGCCAAAGACTATAACGGCTTAAAATTTTATGACATTAGCAATAACATACATTTTAATAAGCGTGGTAACAAGAATGGTGGATAGTTGGATACATAAATAACACCCAAGAGATGACCAAGAACAGTCTCACACATATCATGAGACGAATTCCTAGAATGTAAGGTTTACACTGATTGTTTGACATTAACTAATTGAAATATGGAAAGGAATAAAATGTTAATAAGGATTCAACTTTCGTGTTAACATATTTCGGATATTAGCAAAATTATTGTTTCTCTGATTTTTCTATTTACTTTCTAAAGTATTTTTATACTTTGTTGATAAGTATTTTTGCAGAAGTTAAAATTAATTTCTGGTCGATTTTTGCAGGTACGGTTTCTCTGCTTTCTGATCAATAAAAAATCATTGATTCTTTGTATTAGGTATAGTTGTTAATTAGCTAATTATTGAATATCACGAACAATTACCTTGTTCAGAATTTTCCCAATAAGTATACGCAAATATATATATATATATTATAATATAAATATAAATATATATATATATATATATATATATATATATATATATATATATATATAATATATTATATATATATATTATATATATATATATATATATATATATATATATATATATATATATATATATATATATATATATATATATATATATATATATATATATATATATATATATATATATATATATTGAAGGATTGTTGTCTAAGTATACAGGATATATATATATATATATATATATTTTATATTATATATATATATATATATATATATATATATATATATATATATATATATTTAGACAACAATCCTTCAATTATACATGTTTCAGACGACAGACAAGGTACTATGATTAAGCTTTTTATTTAATTTTTCTTGTGTTCGAACAAGAGTTTTCTTATTTGAACACAGAGTGTGGAGAAAATGTCCAAATGTTTTATAATTCTCCATCTGAAACACACTAGTAGAAAATACAAACATAATAACCTCATCCACATATAAAAAAAAATTAAATTGAAGCATTAATAATAAAAAAGAAAAGCCAATACTTAGTAATATTAACTACGAACACGGCCACAATGTGCTGACTCTATTCGGAAAATAAAACATCTCTTTAACACTAAAAACATACACACAATGCACACATCCAATTAAATTGAAAAAATAAAATCATCCTTGATAATGGCTAAAAGTATAGCTGAAAGCACCCAGAATTATAGAACATTTGTACTGTTTCTACACACTGTGTCCAAAAAAAAAAACACTTGTTCAAACACAAGAAAAATTAAATAAAATTTTAATCGTAGTGCCTTGTCTCTCCTCTTTAATGAAACATAAATATATATATATATATATATATATATATATATATATATATATATATATATATATATATATAATTTTTCGGGCATGAATAATAAAAAGAAACTGCTGTCTTACATTCAACGGTTACAAATAGTAATTTTTATTGTTAAATGAAAGCCATATAAAAAAAGTAAACACCACCTTTTTCCCATGAAGAAAAAGATTTTGCATTTCAATCTTCCTCTGGGTCTTGCAAGTATGCATACTAATTTTGTGAAGGCAGTTATTCGATGAAATTTTCAATATTTCTATCGTTTACACACACACACACACACACACACACACACATATATATATATATATATATATATATATATATATATATATATATATATATATAGCTGACCATTCGTATTCGAGGATACCTGTCTATTAGGGCGACTAGCCAATCCCTATTGCAGACGCTCACTCGGACAGATTTGTGTTTATTCAACACCCACAGAGCCCACCAGTGGTTTATACTGTGAGCAGACCTTAGTTACAGTTTCTGGAGGAGAGCGTGTTATCTAGCGTGATCAACAATCTGAACAAGTCCAGCACACTCAGACCCTCGGTCATGATGACTTGTGACTTCGTGCTAAAACAGCTATCGACGGCTCCCAAGGATTCCGTCTCTCTATTTTCACTCACAAGGCTTGGGTCAATCTGTGTTATGGTTTTCAGTCACTTTGCAGGGGTTCTGCATGCTGGAAATCGCCCCTCCAGTCCGATAACATCAAGAAGTCGACAAATCAAATGTGGTGAGATTCAGGTCTCATGATCAGAAACACACATACATACACACACACACACACACACACACACACACACACATATATATATATATATATATATATATATATATATATATATATATATATATATATATATATAAATATTTATGATTAATTACAATGAAATGGTTAAAATTTACATATATAAATGTGACTATTCTTGTAATAATCAGTCATTTATGTGTCATGCGCGATACACGCTTAGGCGATTATGTAACTTTGATGAATGACGAGGCAATTTTTTCCCGCAATAAGTTGGGTGTAGACCAGTTGCCATCCAAGGCTAAAAGGAATGTCAAGAAAAATTTTATATATAAACGTAAATGGATTTTTCCCTTATATATATATATATATATATATATATATATATATATATATATATATATATATATATATATATATATATATCTGTGTATGAAAATATTTACAACATCTATATACATACATAAATATATATATATATCATTTGAAAATATATTAAAATATTGTGTAGCCCTTCTGTGTGTGTATGTAGGGTTGCATTTTTAAAAGGAATGTCAAGAAAAATTTTATATATATATATATATATATATAAACATTTTATATATATATATATATATATATATTATATATACATATATATATATATATATATATATATATATATATATATATATATATAAATATATATGCGTACATGGAAAAATATGTTTCTTCGGTTAAACTATTTTTTCCTGTTTGTCGATGCAACTATATATATATATATACGTGCGTGTATTAAATTATATGTTTTTGTATATAAAGATATATGTTTTGTATATAAAGATAAGAGCGAGGTTGATATATGAATATATATATATATATATATATATATATATATATATATATATATATATATATATATATATATATATATATATATATATATATATATATATATATATATATATATATATAAAGAACATTCTGTGTCCACGCATTAAGTGAAATGTCCACCGTTACATAAGGTAATCAATAAATTTCACTTTCGCAGTATTTTTCTTGTGTCGCTTTAATGTTTGCATTTATTTGTGTATATTTATATTACCGGCATCTTGCGCTATTCTTCTTAGAAATAACCAATACAAAATGCAATGTGGGAAATTTCTTCCCCGTTGTGCAATCTCATAAAATTATTAAAGGCTTACCAACTAGAGACACTTTCTAAAAACACAACGTTGCTGCTAATGCTGATATCAGAATAGTAACAATAATAATAATCGATACAACGAAAAAAATAACAACTAAATAGATCTCGAGAAATCCCTGGTGTAATGATAAATCGCTATTCATGCATATATCTTCTTCTATGCGCTGTGTCCGTTCAGGATGTGGGCGATCATGACACGCTACGTCTTCCTTCTTTTTTTTTTTTTTTTTTTTTTTTTTTGAGCTTTAACAATGTTCTCCGGGTTGGGGTTTTTTTTTTACTATCACTCCCACTCCTTGTTCAGACATTCATTTACACTCGCTGTTTCCTTCAGCCTCTCCTGCTTTCAAAAATGTGTCAAGCGTAATGGCACTTTGTTTTATTTACAAGTGCCTAGTTTGAAACTATGTCTACGTCATTGATAACTGTGCTCACGTCATTGATAACTGTGTACTACGATTTCTTTGGGAAAACGACAAAATACTCTTACAATCCTACCCTTTTTGATATTCTGGTTTGACACCGAGTACAAAGCTTACTTTAATATCATTTAGTGTGAATGTAGAATATACTGGGGTCACCACAGATCAACTCTCTTAAATCAAACGTTCCTCATTGATGTTAAATTCGATTCATGCCTCTGGTATTTGCCTTCCATACTACACACGGAGCATTTAGACTTACACCAGATGAAAAGAAAAAGTAATTCAAAGAAATGGACTGACCAGGTGTTATTTAGGCCTTTAAAAATAATGTGGAAGGTGTTGAAGATTTCAAACTTGCTATTATTTAGTTTCTTGAGATCACCGCAGACATCAAGTAGAAACATGCAAATGCATGAAATATAATACTAATAGTACATCTTATGTGGAATATGTTATTGCACCAACAATTAGGGTGCACTCTCTGTCCTTTCCTCTCGGCATTGGGAAAAAAGTAGAATGTCAAGTTCAACTGATCTGATTTCGACAGAGAGCGATTTATTCAAGTTAAAACCTTCACACGAGGTACAGATTTTTTATTTTCACAAGATTTCTTTTGACAGCTTCGAAAGAAAAATAGGATTTCCGAAAGAAATGATCAAGAAATCACGTCTTGAATTGATTTTTTTTTTCATTTTTCTTTATTTTCGAATGAAGAATGGGGTTAGGGGAAAAAGAAAGTTTTGCTTTTTTGTAACTCAGGATCGACACAGAAGTAGATTAGCAATTCAACCGATGTTACCTAGGATGAAACTTTCCGTCAGTTTTTTCTTCTTTTTTTATAAAAGTCTATTTAGATAGATAGATAGATAGATAGATAGATAGATAGATAGAATGCCTGCTGAAAATAAATGATTAGTTCACAAAGTTACATGACGAAGTTGAAAAATATTTTTTAGGACTTCATCGGACTAAAAATGTTGTGATGATGCGACTACACATGCGCACGAATGGTGTTTCAAGTGATCATTAGTGATAGCGACGTTATCAAAAGAGAAAACAATTCGCTTCAACGAAAATGTCAAGAGAGTGGCTTGATCGGAAGGTCATCCACAATAAACTTGAACCCTTGGCTCTTACAACATTTTACCATTCCTGGCAGAATTTCTATTATCACAGTGTGGAATCAAAACTGATAGAAAGAAAAAGAATCTAAATGAAATCAGCTAGATTAAAAAAAAAATTATTTTTAAGTTTTAAATTCTCAGCATCCCTCGTTCGCACCAAAATAACAAATTTAGTACAATGAAGTCCGAAAAGAAGAAACGCCTCACAAGAAAACATTTTACACTTCGTCATGTGTGTGCGTGTGTGTGTGTGTGCGTGCGTGCGCGTGTGTGTGTGTGTGTGTGTGTGTGTGTGTGTGTGTGTGTGTGTGTGTAAAACAGTAAGCAAAAGCAGATGATAATAACAATAATAATAACGTTGAGAATGTCTCCTAGGAGCTGATACACTGAGCATCGCTATTGTGATGGCGCATCGTGTTCAGGTGTCGAAGAAGAAAACCTGGATAAAGCGATGACAAACCTGGATAAAACGCTGTTTTGAGAGAGAGAATTTCTACAAATGACTTCACTGGAAATGTAGATGTCATCCAATGCCGCCCAAATTCCGATTGAATAACTCAATGAATGCCGTGCAATCGATTTTCCAGGTATTCAAAGTAAATAGATACATTCCGATAGACGTTTTATATAATTCTTCTTCATACACCGTGTCCCTTTAAAGAGGGAACGATCATGGCTTTCTACATCTCCTTATCTTTCGTAGCTCTAAATAATATTTGTCTACTTACTATGATTCCCAGTCTCTATTCTACTACCTATTTACACAAACTAGCCTGATTACTCGCTTGTTCTTTCTACTCCTATTGCCTTCAGTATATTCCGTCTGTGTCAAATTCTCCAAAATACCTTTTTCTTTATTATGCTTCTTTCTAATTCTATGTATTAGTATCCATTTTCTTTTCAATAAAAACCACGAATTTGATTAATTGATAATTTATATATATCTGCAAAATATTTTGGGGATAAATTCAAACCCAATGGAAGTATAGAGACAACGTGAAAAGAGTTTTATTTCACATTTGAGTGGAACTAAAATCCTTATTTTTTTCGAGATTTCCTCTGTCACCTTAACCAAGACAATAAAAAACAATAGAAATAAAAGAGGAATGATTCTGTTACTCCAATCATTCATATAGAGAGGCTTTACTAATTTAAAAATCAGAATTTGAAATCTTAGTTCTTACTCACCCTCAAAAAATAAATCCTCTTGTGTAATACAAAGTTAGAACACTTACCAAACAAGTCCTTAATGAGTCGATATTAAATTTTAATAGGGTACATAGGCGGGCAACTTGATTTACGACAAAATTTTGATGAACATGTCAAGTTTCTACTTTCAATTTCCAAAATAAGAGAACTGTAAACAGATGCGCATAACTTTCAATTTGAAATTGTTGAAAACCTTTAATAGCAGTTTTCCTCTTCTATGTGCCTTGTTCCTTCAAGACTTTGATTATCATGGCTCTCCACAATTTCCTGTCCTTTGTAGCTCTTAATAATTTTTCTCTTTTTACTATCTCTACATTTACTCAATCTTGCTAGGTAGACAAAACAATTAACCTCAACTAAATCATCGGATGAAAGTTATTAAAATTTATCCCGACGCAACATTACTTTCAAAAATCGGAATTTTTCTGATCAACAAAACAGCTTAAATTAAAAGTCATGAACTTCTCAAAATCGGTGTATATGTGCGCATGCGCATTTATAAATCTCTTGCCTTATTTAAAAAAAAGAACTGTAAATCAAGGCTATTTTTCTCTGCAGAGAAAACTAAAGGCAAAATAGTAAATGATTGACATTCGAAATTGTTATTTTCAGTGCACAACTTTCTTTCGAACGCTTCAGCCATTTAAGCAGATTGTCAAAGGCTTCTTGCATTGTCGGAAAGAAGTCGACTGAAGTTTTTTTTTTTTTTGCGAGTTGAACGGACAACTTATTGACAAATACGTTGAGAAAAGTAGACAAAGAATTTGGTAGATATTTGATCAATTGAATTGACTTTGCCAAATGAAAAGAGCAATCATCTCACAGACAAAATTGATCCGACAATCGTAAAAATCAATTAAGGAAAATCAACAGGGAAATCATGTAGATATAGGAAATAAAACGAAAATTGATCGCTGTTGTCTTTGTAATTATATATCATTGTATTGTTTTCAATTATTATAACTCACAAGCACACATGCACACACACACACACACATACTTGCACACTTATACATGAACGCGTATATTTATATATAAGATTCCTTCAAAATATATTTTCTAACATAGAGAGTTTTTAATTTCTTTCTTTTTGCATATATATATATATATATATATATATATATATATATATATATATATATATATATATATGGTAAAAGTATTAAAAATAATATATATATAATCGACTCTCCCGTCGAGATTCGACGTATGAGGGCCAAGCAGATCAATTTCAGGAAACCGACAGTCCGACACCGGCACATGAGATTTGATTCTAGTGGTGAAGGCTTCGTTCAGGACCATCCACACTTTTTGAAGGAACGAATACAGAGACCTGGTGCACCGAATGCCACAAGGTTCACAAATTTTAGAGAAATCCTTATGCTTATACAGAAATATTAGAAACAAACAGACAAAAGAGAATGACGATTTCTGAGCGGACGAGACGACCTTTTGTAGATTTTATTCATTGATTCGTTTTCTACGGCTTATCAACCCTTTGCAGGTTATTTAAAGCCAGAAAATATTTTAGATTGTAAGATTTGTAGGTGGGAGAGATAACAATGGTTTAGTGATAAAATTCTTAATAATTAATCTATAGTTGGAGGAGAAAAGATGGATTCATACCTTTCTCAAGGTATGAATCAATACGTAAGGGAATATAACGAACCCAAATTGGAACTCACCTCTCCGATTAACAATTCAATTACACTATACGCACATCCAAGCTTACAGCATCTAGTATTCTCAAGCGGTCACCCATTTAGATATTGAATAGACGGTCACCCATTTAGATATTGAATAGACGGCCACCCATTTAGATATTGAATAGACGGTCACCCATTTAGATATTGAATAGACGGCCACCCATTTAGATATTGAATAGACGGTCACCCATTTAGATATTGAATAGGCTCAACGTTGCATAACTTCGGTGATCGTACGAGAACCGGTGTTATGATTTGTAAGACATGTTATAGAAAATTCGTCAAAAGGTTTTCGTAAAACTGTACAAGTAATAAGTATCGAGATCTCCTGTTTAGAACACCTTAGCCAGTATCACTGTTTCGTACTTTTTCAAGCAAAGTTGAAAACGTGTTTACGTAAACCACACCAAAAAGCAAGATGTCAGTGGACAGAGATGATCTTCAAAGATTACCCCTTTCAGCAACAGAATGTGATCCGGACAAACGAATAGAGCATCAGTCTTGACCGGCCGCGACCACAGGTATTATTTACAATAAAATATACTGAAAGGGGTTGATGGTACGTTTGGTGGTGATGGAATTATCTAGAGTGGCTTATCTCTCTGATGTCTAATTATTTCTAACGGAATGTTAACAGCACTCAAGCACCAAGAGATGCGAAGAAAACATCTTGATACTAATGTTGCCAATAAAGTTGTGGAAGATGTTTTCGTCTGACGCCTTTTATCCTTTTATCATTGGACTAAAGTGTTGTTTATGTTGATGCGACTACACATGCGCACGAAAGAAAGAGAGAGGCTAAGAATTTTAAATTTAAAAATAATTTTTATTTTTATATTTTTTCAATATGTGTTTTGGGAATAAAATCTAGCCGATCTCATTTAGATACTTTTTTTCTTTTTTATGTTTCCATCATTTTTGTTATTAAATATCCCCATAGAAGATCTGATATGAATGGTGAAACACAAAATTGAAAAGCGGCCTTTCCTGTCAAATCTAACGAATCAAAAAATATGTTGTTCTACCCACCAACTCTATCACAACTACAACTAAAAAATTGTCATAACTATGTTTAAAAAATCAAAGATTTGATTAGTACAAAACGACAGAATAAGCTAAAACTTGAAGGAGGCATTTATTTTATTACCTGTAATAATTGCCACAAGGAGTACATCGGAAAAACCTCAAGGAATTTAAATAAAATATTATATAAAACAATATATATATATATATATATATATATATATATATATATATATATATATATATATATATATATGTGTGTGTGTTTGTGCTCAGTCAATGATAATAGTATAGACTAACCACAATATTTAAACTTTTTTGTAGCTAATAATGTTTAATGCAATTCAAATTCATTGTTAAACGAGTATTTCATTTTTTATTCATTTTTGTTCAATTTAAGAAAGCGATTTTCTCTATTTGTTTCCCTGTCTAATTTGCTGAAAACAATAAACTTATGATAGATTAAAAAAATATCTATCTCCAAATTAGGAGCAGTACTTGCGATAATCATATTAGAAAAGCTACGCGCCAAATTACGTTTTATCTCGCAAAAGAAAATCTTTACCCCCACACTCAGATACGCTTTCTACATTTTACAGTCATCCCTGCCTGTCAAATCATTAAACATTAAATATTCCGAATTTTACAACAAAAAAATTGAATGTATTCTCGATTTAAAACGACCATAACTTTGATAAACAGAGGCCGCACATTCTTATCAAACGCTATCGCATTTGAAAACAAACCGGATTTTTTAAAAACATTAATTATCTATTTTTTATTTTTGTTCTGTTTTAGGTCATTGGAAACAAATTACGAATATCTTAAAAGGTAAT